CAGGCTTATATTGGCTTTCACCATATCATTGGCCAGTTGGTGCAGAAACAAGTGTGGCCTTCACTCAGTAGGTGGGGCTGCAGGAGGTGTGGGTGAGGTTGTGTTGTATGGGCACATTTGAGGTCTCCCACTCAGTTAGACAAGAACAACAATGAAAACATACCACCAAAAAAGTGAAAATTATGACAAAAAACACATGTGGCATAAACACATAGGTAGAGTCACCAAAAAGAGAAGAAAGAAAGAAAGAAAGAAAGAAAGAAAAGGCAATAAATGAGATGAAATATTTAAAGAAATACTTTAAAAAGAGGAAATAAAAATACAAAAAGAGGAGAGAAAAAAAAGCCCCACAATATCTGGAGAGAGGGAATAAGAGAAAAGAGCTAGAGTAAGAGAATAATGAGAAAAAAAAAAGGGAAAAATGCAAAAAGAAAAACAAGGGATGGGAAGAACCATAAGAAAGAAAAAAATGGGGACCAGGAAGAGGGAGGAGGAAAAAATGCTCAAAACTAGAAGCTGAAAAGGGAAAAAGAATGAATAAAAATAAAAAGGAAGATTAAAAAAAAGAATAAGAACAAACAAACAAATCCGGAGGGTGGTGGGGCAGGGCACCCAGGCTTTGTCAGAGCCCACAGACTAGGATGGAATTCCTGCCAGCTCAGAAGGTGGGTGGAGGTGAGGGTTGGCCATACCTCTGTTCACCAAGAGGTTGTGGGGTATAAGAGTAATGAGGGGACTATCGCACCTTTCCAGTTGTCAGCCTCTGGTATGTCTGTGCTGTCCTTGGTAATTGGAGACTATTCTTAAGTGCCTGGAATCTGCATGAGAACACTGTCATTTTTAATATCCAAAATGGCCGCTGCTTGTAAACATTCAAAATGGCTGCACCTTTGGGACAGCTGAAAGTCCACAGCTCAGTTTGTCTTCTTCTTTGCTGTTTCCCTTTTTGGTCATCAGCCACCAGTGCAGTCATCCATGCAGCCCTTGGCAAGCGGGGGTTATTTTTAGGTTAATTCTCAGGTCCTGACACCACTTGGAAATATTCAAACTGTCATACCGTCAGGATAGCTGACAGTCCACAGCTCCGTTTGTCTCCTTATTCACTGTTTTCATTCAGGTTCTTCTACTAGTTGGTGTCTAATCCACTTCTGTATCCTTCCTTTCAAAGCTCAGGGCTCAGGATTATCATCTGTATCTGTGTCAATTGGTTTCTATTTTCTTTGTTGAAGAGGGTCTGTGTAGCTTGTCTGCCTCTTCTGCTATCTTACCAGAACTTGATGGCTTTAATTATCAGACTTGTCTGTAGCATCATTTTTTTTAACCATCATAGCTATTTTTGCTTAATTTTAATTTATGATTTGTGTGAAAGTTTTAGGATCAGTAGTGTCTTGTTTAATTTTCATTGCTTCTAGCATAGCTTTAGCTCTACAAACTCAAACTTTTAAATGGCAAAAAATTGACTATAGAAGCATTAGGAATTTGTTTTCTGATTATCTAATTCTGTTCTTTATTGTTACTGGATTTCAGCTGTGTAGTATTACTCCATGTTTTGATATATTGTTCTTCACCTGTGAGCCCAAACCTCTTTATATGAATACCACTGTTGAAAATTAGTTATATATTTTATAATCTGCCTAGGATTAGAATCTATTTAGATCTCTTTATTGGATTTTTATTGTATTATTTACAATTGCTTCTATTTTTAACACCTTTCATTATTAAGGCCAATCATAAATTAATTTAGTAAGACATATGAATTTTTAAATAACTGTGTCTCTTTGTCATTAGCATTGTAATTATATTCATCCTTTATTGGTTAGTAGTCTTTTTATTCTCTTTTATGCTTTTCACTGTGGAAGTTTATTTTGTCATTGCCATCATTTATATGCTAGTAGCCCTTGTTTATTTATTTTGGGCTGTGTTTCTCCACTATGAATCCCTTATACTTTCTGCCCATACTGTTGCTCATTGCAGCCTCTGTTAACTCATGGCACAAAAATGCTTTTGCCAAATATCTCAGGCAGTCACACAGTTGACAAATTTTACTGAGTGCTAGATCTGTCATCCTTCACCACAAATAGTACATGATAATTTAGACCCATTACCCCTTGTATTGTCAGTGACTGCAACACCCTCACAAATGGTCTCATACTCTATCTCATTTAGTCATGCTTATAAGACTTGATGGCACATAACGACAACAACAACATAAGAAACTGCAGGAGCTCTGGTAGCATAGTGCCTAAGGCACTTGACTGCTAACCAGAAGGCTGGTGGTTCAAACCCACCAGGCACTCCTTGGAAGGAATATGGGGCAATCTACTTCCGTAGTGAACTGCCTCGGAAACCCAAGGAGGGGTCGCTATGAGTCGGTTCCAACTCGACGGCACATAACAACAACAACAACATTAGAAACATCTCAGACACAATGGAACAAATAACTGCTGATGTGACTAATACTATGGCCACTCAAGAAAAGTCTAAATTCACTTGTTGTTGTTGTTATGTGCTGTCGAGTCGCCCCCAACTCATAGCGACCCCTCGTTGGGTTTCTGAGGCAGCATCACTACGGAAGTAGATTGCCCAACCTTCCTTCCCACTAAATTCACTAGCTAACGTAATTTTAGATAATAAAGTTGCCCTAGATTTCTTGTTGGCTCATCAAGGAGGAGTCTGCACTATCTCTAACACATCATACTGCACCTAGATCAATACTTCAGAGGGAGCAGAATATGATATTGCCAAAATATGCCAGAGAGCCCCCTGGCTTCACATTGCTGAACAAACTGGGTTTGAGTTTTCCTTTTCTGATACATTTAGCTGGCTACCTAATGGAGCAAGTGCTTGAGTTAGATCAATTCTGTTCTCTGGCATCAGTGTTGGTTTTCATGTTAATAATCATTATAATTGGTACGTTAGATGTTGTATGGAAGTAACTACTAAACCCTTGACTCAGACAAGCAACCTGATGCCTACTGCATGGACTGATGTATATAGAGGCAATGACTGTCTCTAATGAGTCAAGTTTAATTCATCCATCCACAAAGTCACTAGGCTTTTTAAACCATTTGTTGTTGTTGTTACGTGCTGTTGAATTGGACCCGACTCAGCGACCCCTCCTTGGGTTTCCGAGGTGGTATCACAACGGAAGTAGATTACCCAATCTTCCTTCTGAGGAGTGGCTGGTGGGTTTGAACCACCAGCCTTCTGGTTAACAGTCAAGTGCCTTAGGCACTACACTACCCACTAGGTATCCTTAAAACCATCTTCAGAGTTTTACAACACCATGATATAGAAAAGGAAACTAAGTTATCTAGTGGCCAGAACCACCTTGCAGAAGATGAGTTATTCCTTTATGGGCAACATGAGACCAGCTTGCTCTGAAGATCAGAACTCCCCTATAGCAAGGTAGAAGTTAAATGCTTGCAAACCCAAAAAGCATAACCAATAATGATGATCTAAAGTAAACCTATGTAGAAGAACTATTTCTTAAATTGATCAGAAGATGTGTATTAAAACCTCTGATTAAGAGGAAGGAATTGTGAAGGAGAAATTCATAAATCCTTTTCGACCAAAGCAAAAAGACTGAATTTAACTCAACTCTTGTTGAATTAAACTTCTTATTCATCTGCCTGCCTAGCAATCTGTTTGCTCAGCTGTAAGTCAATTCCCCTTACAAGCTGAGTTATCTGGCTGTGTTAATTGCTAGAAGCCATAAAAACTAAGAAGTAATTACCCTAGATAGTCAAGCCAGGCTGTAAAAGAAATAAACTCTAAGGAAAAGAATCTTGACACAGGTGTCTTTTGAATAAGTGAGCCAAAGGAATATTTCTTCATGACAAAGATGTAATAAAGAAAACTGTTTCAAAGAGTTTGGAGTCAGCCTTACCTAAAGTTTCTCAGACCCCTTAAAAGTTCTTGTTTAACAAGCTGTTTCAGGGAAATGACATCCTGGCAGTAAGAGGGGTTTTCACACACTCCCGAGACATCTGATTAAAACAGGGTAAACATCCACCAGTGCTGTTTTATTATGATCTCACCTGAAAGCTATCTGACTCCTCTGTAACTATTTCCTGAATTTATTCATTGTAATTCTCTATATCCAATTATCTAATTAAGCCTATTCCCCACATCTAATTCTCATCCTATGACCTCAATCAAAGACTAACCAATCAAACAACTGTATTATAATTTCTTTGTTCCAGGGATTACATCTGCCTCAGTTACCAGTCTTAGTTGGAGTCATCAGTTCTCATTTATGCGGGCTGGTGCCTCCCTATATCCAGATTTTTTTTTTTCCTTTTTCTGAATAAATCCTCTTAATTTCATTTTTATGAACTGAATGGGTTTTCTTTCCACAACAATTTATTGTAATCACTGATATATTTGTATTTAACTCTACCATCTTATTTTGTGCTTTGTATTTGTCTTGTTTTTGTTAATTGCCCTCCAGTCAATCACGACTCATGGTGACCCCATGTGTGCAGAGTAGAACTACGCCATAGAGTTTTGAAGGCTGCGACCTTTTAGAAGGAGATTGCCAGGCCTGTCTTCCAAGGCATCTCTGCATAGATTCAAAACACCAATCTTTTGGGTAGTAGTTGAATGCTTCACTACTTGTGTCACCTATGTGCTGTCTTGTATAGTGACCCTATAGGACAGAATAGAACTGTCCCATAGGGCTTCCCAGGCTGTAATCTTTACGGGAGCAGATTGCTAGATCTTTTAAACTGCAGAGTGGCTAGTGAGTTCAAACTGCTGACCTTTCAGTTAGCAGCCAAGTGCTTACTTATTGCATCACCAGGGCTCCTTCCCAAAAGTACACTAACAGGCGATTCTTTGTTCTAGATGTTCATGATGCTTGATTGGAAAAGGATGCAATTTCACTTTTCAAAATAAATCCTAATATTCAGACTTTCAATAATTCAGCTGAATAGCATAGGAATAGCTATGATTTCAGTATTTGCCCTCAATATTTACTTCATTTTTTTTTTTTTTACCTCATTCCTTTCATACCAGCTGACACTTTGCATTTTGGAGAATTCCTGGGATCGCTTCACCACAAAGTAAATGAGGTACCCACTTCCACACAAACAGCAGATGATGAGAAAGTTGGCCAGGACACGGAGAAATCTTGTTAGATGGATGTTTTCTTCTTTGTTACTCTCTTGTTCATCCACTATTGATTCCTTAATGTGTGAAAATGAGATGTGAATAGTAGCATATCAGGAAACAACAGGAACCACTGTGGTTGGGTTCCTGAGAATACTGCTTTCTATATTTCCATAAATGTAATAATCAGTGTAATGAACTGATACCCTACAGAGAATTAATTCTTTTCTTTAAGAACATATATTTTGTTGTTATTATTTTGGTACATGTAATAACAAAAATTTAGATTTATTGAATACTTACCAAATGCCAAATGTGGTTCTAAACACTTTCCATACATCATCTCTCTTAAGCCCAGGAACAAACCAACAGAGTAGCTGCTATTATTACCCACATTACAGGTACTAAGGCCCAGAGAGATTTCAGTAGATTGTTTTAAATCTACAAATTCAAACAGAATCTTAACAATATTGAGTGTTATAACCCAGGGGCAGGAAACTTTATTTATAAAAAGCAAATAAGTATATTTGGCTTCTAGGCCATATACTCTCTTTTACATTGACTTAACTATGCCATTGTAGCATGAAAGCAGCCATAAACAATACATAAATAAACGTGGATGGCTTTGTTTCACTAAAACTTTATTTACGAAAGTAGCTACCAGACTGAATTTGGCCTGTGGGCCATAGTTTGCTGACCTCTGTTTTAATCCATGAGCATGACATATCTTGCCATTTATTTATGATATCTTAATTTCTTTCATGAATCCCTGGGTACAAATGGTTAACACACTTGGCTGCTAACCAAAAGGTTGGAGGTTGGAGTCCACCCAGAGCCACCTTGGAAGAAAGGCCTAATGATCTACTTCTGAAAAAGTAACCATTGAAAACTCTTTGGAGCACAGTTCTATTCTGACACACATGGGGTCATCATGAGTCAGAATTGACAGCAACTTGTTTTTAATTTCTTTCAATGATGTTTTGTTGTAGCAGTCTTGTACCTTTTTTTTTTTTCTTTTAGTTGTCATTAAATTTATTTCTAGGAATTTTATTTTTTTGATGCTATTATAAATGGAATTAAACATTATTCTCTAATTGTTCCCATTAGTATATAAAAATACAATTTATTTTTGATTATCAACCATGTGTCCTGCATTAGTAACTCTCTCTAATAGAACACAAAGGGTAAGTGGTAGAGTCAGGATGGAAAATGAGGTCTTCCAGACACCAAAGTACCTGGGAAGAAATTTTTTCAATCAATTGATAGTTACTGTGTCCAAGTTCAGGTTTAACTAGGTCACCAGGCACTTAATATACATCATAGTTCTTACAACAATGCCCTATTATGTAAGTGACATAATAATAGACTCAGAGAAGTCTTATCTTTCTCAGATGTTCAAAGTCCTTTACATGGATTGACCTTCTTTTTCTCTTTCTGATAGGCTTGGAGGAAGAGCCAAAGTCCCCACCTGTCCCTACTTGATCCTTGGACGTTTAGAGTTGCAAGAAACATAGGGCTGATTCCTTCATTTCCATTTCCCCAAACCAGGGTTCTCAATTCTTTCTGGGTGTTCTTATCACATGGGGAACTTTTTTTTTTTTAAAAAAAAACACTGGCATCATGTTGATTCCTTACAGAGCACAGTAGAACTGTCCACATGGGGAACTTTTAAGAAAACTAAAGCCAGAACCCCATCCCAGACCAATTACATCAGAATCTTTGGACATGAGGCCCAGGAGATTTTTAGAGCTCCTTAGGTGATTCTAGCATGCATAAAATGTTGAGAACTGCTGCCACAAAGGAGTCCTTCCATTTCCTCCAGCAGAAAGCAGCTCTATGAAGAAACAGGTAGGACAAGATCCCAGTATCTCTGATTATCTGCCATATCAATAGATGGTGTGGACCAGCCATGAGCATTCTTTCTCAAAGTCTTGAGAAGAAAAGTTGGGACCTCTTGTAAAACCTTTGCTACAAGTTATCTTTGCATCTTATTTCCGGTGAAAATCTCCCAATGACTGATGGGACCTAGAGTTCCCCCTCCCCCCAGGAATTGGGACTGCCTTGAGTCAACTACCTTGAAGCTGGTGGTGATGGAGACATACTTGTTGTCTGCTGTCTCTGAATTTCCGATCAAGTAGTCCCAGCTGGTGAACATCTTGAAGCTGAATGTGAAGTTGTCATTCTCGCCTTCGCTTGTGCTCCCTTGGGTATTGCTGGCCATACTGTAAAGCACACACCACTGTTGTTATGCCTACCCTGTGGTCCTGCCAAAGGGCATGCCCTGGTGCTCAGGTTTGTGCAGGAGATGGTGCCTTCTGACCTTCAGCCATAATTGACTGGGGTCATCTGACTCAAAAGAAGGCAATTCATGGGCTGGGATGAACTTTTTATTCCTTAGAGGATATTAATTAAGAGGCAGAGATATATAGAATGACCATTTCTGCACACAGAAACAGGTGGAGTTGGAGCCACAGAGGCTGCCATGGTTAATCACAGTCACATGCATTCATTTAGCACAGATTTACTGTTTCTGTTATACATATAAAACCAAAAGCCAAATTCACTGCCATCAAGTCAATTCTGACTCATAGCTGCCCCCTTTTGGGTTTCTGATGTGGAAAATCTATACGGAAGCAGATCGCCCAGTCTTCCTTCCACGGAGTGTGTTTGAACTGCCAATCATCTGATTAGTAGTCTAATGCCTTAGGCACTTTGCCACCAGAGCTTTCTCTCTCTTTCTCTCTATGGAGCCAAGAATGTTACTAGTAAACAGTTGACATTCTTGGCTCTTAGTCAAAAGATTGGAGGTTCAACCCCACCCACAAGTATCTTAGAAGAAAGGCCTGGCAATCTACTTCCAATAAGTCAGCTGTTGGAAACCCTATGGAGCACAATTGTACTCTGACACACATGGGGTCACCATGAGTTAGAGCTGAGTAGATTGCAGCTGATTTGGTTTTCTTTATATGTGCCAGGCTTGGTTTACACATGCAAGCTAGATTTACAGAGGAGCAGAGCGTGTTTCTGAGGAAGCTGAGCTCTGGAGAAAAGTAGAAATAGTCCTTGCAAACCCATCCACCCTTACCAGATGCCATGCTCCATCTCAACCCTCACTGGCATCTGGAATTCACTAGGATATTTGCTGCCTTAGAACCTTTGCACATGCTGTTCCTCTGTCTAAAATGCTCTTCCCCAGACTTTTAGCATGGCTGGAGGCTTCAGGTCTCAGCCTCATCTAAAGGAGTTTCTGTTGCATTTTCCAGAATGTCTGCATTACCTGGTTTCTGTTTTTTATGCCATATACCACAGTTGACATTTGCCTTGGTTTTTATTGGTTTCCTTATTTTATCTCTGAGTTCCCTCCCCTACCCCAGAAGATAAGTAGACAAATAATGGTCAGGGGAATGGACTGTTTGTGTGAAGAGGAGTAAAAGCCTGTAAGTGAGACGGTCATACTTACGATCTAATGACAATCATCAGGCTGTAGCCAAACACGCTGACCCCCACCATAAAGTAAGCCATTGGCAACCGGTACCTCAGCCACCCAATGGTCCTCTGGTCATTGTAGTAGCCGTAGAAGAGAGCAGAGTATTTCATGTATCCCTGCAGGATGGCAAAGCCACAGGCCCTGGATTTGTAAACTCAATACAGGTGGTCATCAGACACTTCCCGTTCTACCAGGGATTTCTTTTTCAGGGTTCTAATGGAAGTCTAGGAGCTCTGGTAGCATAGTGCCTAAGGCACTTGACTGCTCACCAGAAGGCTGGCAGTTCAAACCCACCAGCCACTCCTCAGAAGGAAGGTTGGGCAATCCTACTTCCGTAGTGATACTGCCTCGGAAACCCAAGGAGGGGTTGCTAGGAGTCAGATCCGACTGGACGGCAGTGTGTTTGGTTTTTTTTGGTTTTAATGGAAGTCTGAGGTGGGAAAGGAAGGGGTCTGGATGTCCTTGACCTTCCCTTCTCTTCTCCCAGTTGCTCCAGAGTTCATTTATGTCTTCCCCTCTTTCTTTTGACTTCCCCACCACAGAGATACACTTAAGAGGGGAGAGTGTTGTTAATATTTGGGATAAAATTAGGGATAATGGTATGTGTGTGTGTGTATGCATAAGAATGTGCACCTAGTTCCAAATTCTTTTTCCCCATCCCCAGGTTCTTAATTTCACATTCCAGAAGTAGATGGACATCTGTGAGCTTTCTTAATATTTCAAAACTTCTAAAGAAAATTATACATGAAGTGGCTCAGAGTCTAATCCAACTTTTAAGTTTTATTTTGGCTTTTAGGTGTAATTGGATTTAGGGGTAATTAGGTACAGTTTTTAGGGGTAATTATTTAGATGCAATTATAAACATAGGGTGATAGCACTTCCTTACTTGATATAAACCAGAGAATTAATTATTGTTGAATAAACTCAGTTTGGTTTTGGTAGGCAAAATGTTTCAACCAGGGTCACTGGGTGAAATAAAAATTAAAGGAAATTCTTGGTATTAGTATAGTTGGGCATTGCTGTTCCAAATAACTTGGACAAATGCCCCAACTCACTTTCACAAATGTGTAAGAGGTTTCACATTTATGAGGCTGAAGAATGATGACAGTTTATGCCACTGCAGAAGTCCCTAGACTCAGGAGGTCTTTGGAACTACAGAATCAAACTCCTACAGGTACGAGGGTGTGATGATCCAAAAAAGTGAAGGGTATTCCAGGCAGATGAAGTGTCTGGGTGGTACAAACAGTTAAGAGCTCATGTACTAGCCAAAAGAGGTTTGATCCTATTCAGATGGGCCTTCGAAGACAGGCCTGATGTCTTTCTGAAAGATCACAGTTTTGAAAACTCGATGGAGCAGTTTTGCTCTGAATCACATGGGGTCACCATGAGTCTGAAGTAACTACATGATAACTAACAACAACAACAACATCCCAGGCAGAGGATCATGAACAAAGGCAGACAGACAGTAGAAGACTGTGATGCATTCAGAGAACTCCCTAATACTAGAGCACAAAGTGTGAGGAATTAGAGAGGGATGGGGCCAGAGAAGTAGGAAACAGCCAGGTCACAGACAGTCCTTTTGTAAACCCATTTAAGAGCACTGAATTTTATTCCATTTGGTAATGGAGAATCAAGGAACATCGCAGGTAGGGGAGTGATAGAAACTGATTTGCATTCTAGGAAGATCCCCAGCAGCTGAAGGAATGGAGATTTTAGGAACCAAGCCATGGCAGGGGGTAAAGTTAGAAGGTTGTGAGCAGTTCTGGCCAGGTGAGGGCATTATTCAAAGCAGAAGGATGGAGAAAGGGGGCTGAGTGCAAGAATTCAGTAGTTCAGTTCAGATTTACTGATTGGTTAGATGTGTGTGTGTGGGTGGGGGGATTGGTGAAGAGGGTGAAATGTAACATGACACTCAGGTTTCAGATGTGAATCATTGGATGAATGATGATGCCAATAAAGGAGAAAGGGAAAAAGAAGTGGGTTTGGTTGGATAGATGTTGAATTTGAGCAAAAACAGGGTATTTGGTTTAAGATGTCATGTGAAAGTGAGGCAAAGCCTGGAGTGGAGACAAAACCATGCCATAAGATCATCTTACATAGAGCTGTTAAATGAGGTGTAACAGTGGCTGTGTGGGGATCCCATATCTGTCAGGCTGTGGCTAGAGAGAGGACTCCAGGAAGGAGACTTAGGACTGTTGGGAGACATGATTTGCTAGCTCAGGGTGTGCCAGCTCGTTTTGCGTATGCTGGGATCCTGTTTGATTAAAGCACTGGTCTTTCAGTAATTCAGTGCAATATTGTTCACTTATCAGTGCAATCTTTAGGCCTTAAAATCACAAAAGTGAAGGTGTATTGGCATATTGGGAATGGTACCTCAAAATCCCAAAGGACTGAAAAATCCATTGCTTTTTCTTCCTCAGCCCGAGGCACCGTCTTTCTGGGTATACTTCCATAGGGCATGCCCATCAGTACCTTGTATAGAGACAGAGTAGAATAATTTTGAGTAGAGAAAACACAAACAACAGAGACATTTATACACTCAATTAAAAACTTTCCTTCTAAGAGCAGAGCATACCAATTTCTTCTTTAAATACCACTCACATCTTTCTGATTTTGAAAGTAACACATATTCATTGTAGAAAATGTGAAAAAGTACAGAACATTTTAAAAAATTGCCTAACATTCCACCATCCAAAGATAAATGACTGTTAGACACTCATACAGTTCCTTTCATCTGTTTCTGGGTTTACCTATATTTTAGTCTGGTTATTTAGCTTAATATTATTTTATGACCTATTTTCCATGTCATGTGGTACAGGTAGTCCCCAACATAACTCTTTTTTTTTTTTTTTACTTTTCATTACTATTGCATTTTATCATCAGTATCTTTATAAATCTGACTTTTATTTGTCCTTGGAATTTGGAAATATTATTTACAAACTTACAGATATATTTTAATACACACATACATATTACTAAGGATAAGATGCACAGAAAAACAGGTGGTCAAAAGTGTGGGTCATCATAACTTGAATACTAAAAAACCAAACTTGCTGCCGTCAAGTCAGATTTGACTCATAGCGATCCCTCCTTGGGTTTTTGAGGCAGTATCACTGTGGGAGTAGATTGCCCAAACTTCCTTCTGAATAACTTGAATATACATCATAAATTGGGGACTACTTGCATTTCTAAAAATAAAATTAGTCTGAAATATTTGATCACATGCATATACCATAAACTTAACTAGCCAGTTTCTTATTTTTGGTTATTACGTTTCTAGTTATTCACTGATAAATAATTCTACAGGAAACACAGATATGGGAGTTACCGACCATGAACTTTAAAATAACTTTGATTAGCATGTTTAAAACATTAAGAGAAAATATGAAGAATTTTGGTAGAGAACTGGAAACTACAGAAAGTATTAAATGGAGATTATGGAACTGAAAAACACAAAATTTGAAATTAAAAACTCCATGGACAGATTTAAGAATATACAGATCTATTGAAAAGAATTGGTGAGCTACAAAATAGAGTTAAAAATATCTAGATTTAAACACCTAAAGAAAAGGATGGAGAATATTGAAAAGAACATAGACATACATGAGAATATAGAGACAAGGTTCCACATGTGTATATTTGGAGTTCCAGAAAAAGAAGAGACAAAGAATGGCACAGAAGCAATGACAAAAGACATTTTAGGATCAAGAAGTGCTACAATCCCAAGCAGAATATATATATCGCTTTAGTTTTCTATTGCTGCATAAAAATGACCACAAATGTAATGGCTTAAAACACTCATTTACTAGTTCACAGTTCTGTAGGTCAGCAGTCCAACATGGCAGGCTGCATTTGCAGATTAGGTTCTCAGTGGACTGAAATCAAGATGCTGGCAGTTGCTGAGGATCTCATCAACTTCCAAACTGACTGGTTGTTGCAGAATCGTTTTCCTTGTGGTTGTAGGATTGAGGTCCCAGATTTACAGGCCACCCACATTCTTCATCACATGGCCTCCTCCACCATCATGCCAGCAATGGCATGCCAAATATTTCTCATGTTTGGGCTCTCTTTGACTTCTGAAACCAGCCCGAGAAACCTCTCTGCTTTTAAAGGACATGTGTGATTAGATTAGATTTACCCAGCTAACCTCATCATATTCACAAGTTTGACTCATATTCAAAGGGAAAGGGATTATATAAGACAAGGATGATTGGGGGTCATTCTTAGAATTCTTCCTACAACATGTACAAAATATAAAAAAAAAAACAATAATGACAACAAAAAAGTCACTTAAGCACACCACAGGAACATTTCCTCAAGAAAATAGAGAAAGGGGTGTTTCCCAAACCATTTTGAGGCCAAATTTTGTTTTCCAAACATAGTAAGGACATTATAGACCTATAAAGCAAATGTATCATCCAGTCTCTCAAACATAAATGTAGTATAAAAATTCTAAATAAAATATCAGCAAACAAAAATCTGGTGATATGTAAAAAGGAAGGATAGTACATAATGACTTTTATTTCAGGAATGCAGTAAGTTTATTTCCGGAATGCAATGTGATTTAACATCTGAAGATCAGTCAGTGTAAGTTACCACATCATAACACTTTTAAATTCTCATGCATCCAACAACACAACATGTAATAGCACATGTAAAGCAAAACTGGATAATTACAGGAAGATTAAAACAGTAACAGTAGGAGAGTTAACTTTTACACTCAGCAGTTCATAGTTCATGGTAACCTAAAATTAGCAAGATATAGATGACTTTTACAATAAAAGTAATATATTTGAACCATGCAAAAACTAGAGAAATTTAGGAAAATTGATCACGTTCAGGCTGATAATGCAAGTCTCAACCAAAAATAATCATCTCCATACAAATCGTGGTAGTTAAGGTCATATGTCAACTCAGCTGGGCTGAGTTGGTTTTGAATGGCTGGGCAGCTGCATGTAGTTATTCCCCATGATGAGACTGTAATCATTTCCATGGTGGAATCTGCTGTGAGCAGCTCTAACTAGTTGCCCTCAGGGTGTGGCCTGCTTCCAGTATATAAGGAGAAGTTTTGGGAAAGGTCTCTAGCTTTTTGGCACATTTGAATCCTGAAATTGGTGGCATCTTCATCCAGTGGCTTGCTGCGTTGCCTGACGATTTGGAACTGTTCCTGGACTTGAGCCAGTGGTCGGCTGTGTTGCCTGCTGATCTTGGAATCGTGTCATTTTACCTGCTCACCTTAGGTTTGTCATCCCCAGCAGCCAGAAGCTGCCTGAGACAGGAGATGCCTCCATCTCCAGTGGGCCTGGAATAAGAGGAGAGCTGAAGCCCAAGGTAGAGGGCCCTTCACCCAGCCCCTAGACCTGGCACTCTGAATTTGGACTTCTAGCCTCCTAAACTGGGAGCTCTGGTAGCATAGTGCCTAAGGCACTTGACTGCTAACCAGAAGGCTGGCGTTTCATACCTACCAGCCACTCCTTGGAAGGAAGGTTGGGCAATCTATTTCCATACTGATACTGCCTCAGAAACCCAAAGAGGGGTCACTATGAGTTGGTCCAACTTGACAGCACATAACAACAACATCAACAACAAGCTTCCTAAACAAAGAGAATAATTTGTTTATTAAAACCATCTACTTGTGGTATGTCTGTTACACCAGCACTAGAGGACCAAGACACAAAAGGTACTTTGTTGTTGTTGTTGTTAGGTGCCGTCGAGTTGTCTCCAACTCATAGCGACCCCATGCACAGCAGAAGAAAACACTGCCCAGTCCTGAGCCAGCTCCATGATTCTTGCTATACTTGAGCCCATCGCTGC